CATGCCATCCCATTGCATAGGGGAAGGAGACCTCAAAGAGGTTGTCATATTTCGTCAGGAGTCTTTTCATTATGGATGCCAGACCTGTGGGGAAGGAAAGAGAGTGAACAATAAAAAAGGTTGAACTGGGAAGAACTGACTTCAATTTTCCACCAATATTGCTCGGGTTTTATCCAGCCTGGTTTCATTACAGACGCCATGCACTTCACCCAGACGCCTTTCATGGCCAGGAGGTGCATTCATTTTGTTTTTCACCCAAACAAAACTAGACTCACACACAGACCCACCAAAACTAAGATGGACGATTTTGCGTCTTCCTTGCTAAATGAAATGACAACATGTATCGTTTCAGAAAGGAGCGACCTTCTGACCGCTCCAGTCAGTAAATCACATTTGTCCTTCAAGAGTGATTCATGATTTGAAGACGTGCTGGTGAATGCAAGCTTGTTTTTCCCAGCAAAACAACAGCTGCCTTGGTAATTTCACAAATAATGACAGTAAAATCAGGGCTTAGATTTAATAAACTTTGATAGTGGAACAGCTGAGCCAAAAACAAGCATCACACATCTTGGTCCAACAAGTTTGACAATATATATTCTCAAAATATTGCTTTTGGGTTTTTGCACCTTTGTGGCATGGTGTGGCTTAGCAGTTACAAATCTCTCTTTGCATACCAATATGCAAAGGTAAACCTTTGATCATTTTTGGATTTTTACATCATTTGGATCCATTTACCATTCACGCTAAGAGGTGAATTTACTTAATAGTTGCTCCAATTTTGCAAATGTTATTTCAGCAAAAAAACAAACAAAAAAAAACGTCTTGTTCACTAACCACCTGCAATTTCTAGCACTTGTGGCAGCAGTTATTCATAAAATGATGATCAATTGATAGAGAAGAGTGTTACGATCAGGCGTATCCAAATGTGAAATGCAATCGAGCACACATTCAACATTTTAAAGAGTCAATTCAGTTCAGAGTGGAGGACACTCCTAGTAAAGTAAGCCAGATTGCAATATTGAGTGTAACGCCCAAATTATTGTAAACATAAATCCAACTGTATTCAGAGTACACATGTAAGTATAATTCTTATGGTTCGGATAAGAAAGCGTGTGCTAACTGAGCAATAATGAGTTATCTATGCATTCAAATGAAGCCTTTTGGTCTGAAAGAGTCTGAAAGAGTTGGCCTAAAAACCGCCGAGAGCTCCGGCACTTACTCAGGGAAATGTTTGGTTTGTCAGCCGATAAAATAGATTACATGCTAGGCTGGAAGTCTGTGATCCTTAGGCAGTGTCTTCAACTGGAACAATGGGAGAGCGTCACAGCTCGGAGACAATTCGAAACAATTTCCCAATCTCCATGTTAAACAAGAGCCGATGAGGCTTATTTTCATCCACATTATACATTATACTGTTCATCAGCATGATTGATGCATTATTATGTGCATATATCAGACAGAGCGAGCAAACGGTCTTAAATGGTCCTCAAATGATGAAATGCATTATTTGAAGATTTCCAGGGTTATCAAGTGTACTGCAGGCCTACTGAACGCAATAGTCAGTGGATTATGAACTATCACTGTTGTGTCATTGATCAATACAGTTTTCACACTTTAAACGGTTAGTCATATGACTATGTTTTAACTTAATTTCTTATGCGTTTTCTGTACAGTTGTGGACTAACAATCGTTTCCCCTTTCCCTTGTAAACAAAGTGTACACTTCAACGTTTTTTTTTTAAGTACTTATTACGGAAATAATATACTTTACAAGAATATACTGAATGCAATTTTTTAGGACACTTAATTGCATAATTAAAAAACTGCAATTAAATGAAAATGTATTTATCTTAAATCCAATTAACTTAAGACCCACTTAAGTAGGAGATAAGTACATATTTACACTATATGCAATTTCATAACTATATTGTCTTTGAAATATGTTTAACCCTATACATTAATGGTAAAGTAATGTAGATATATTGGATAGTTGCTTTTATTTACTATAAAACAATGTTTATATAAAGTGAACTCCTTGAATTAAAAGTATGTAGATATATTGGATAGTTGCGTTTAATTACTATAAAAGTAAGTTTATTCAAAGTAAACTTATACATTAATGTGAAAAGTACGTGTTTTACATCTAAAAATCTGTACTTTGACGGGGAGTTCTTGTGGATGTAATTGATAATGTTATGAATTTACCAAAGAATACTGTGTAAAAACAGAAGACTTCATTTAATTGTATAATTGTAAGGTAATTCTGCAATAATTTCCAGTTTATATGCAGATTTATTCATTTGTTTAATGTTCTACAGACATTTTTTTAATGAGATTTTCTTTTCATTCTACAGCAGTGGAACTGTAAAAATACAGAAAATGTTTACAGTAAATATCTGTATTTTTAAAAACAGAATTATTCCGTAGAATAACTTAAGGTTTTTTACTGTAATTTGACGGTAAGTGTTTGGCAACTTTGCTGCCAGACTTTTTACCGTTTTTTTACGATTGTTTTTTTTACATGTATTTACCTTAAATTTAAGGTTTCACAGTAAAAAAAAACACATAGTTGTCTTAATTTTAAATAAGTGATATTTCTTTGTCTTTTTACATAGAATTTAATGTAATTTAACATTCAAGCCAATTAAACAAAAGAATAATCCTGTAAATAAAACTATAATTTCTCCTTATATGAATTTACATATTATTACTTTTATTTTATGGTTAATATTTTTAATAAAAGTTTTTTTCTGTATTTTAATGACATTTACACAAAATGTAAAAAAAAAAAAAAACAGAAAATATCTGTAAAATAATAGAGTATATTTCTGTGAAAAAACTTTTTTTTTACAGTGGAAAAATGTACTGACAAGCATTTATGGTAAACTAAATATAAATTAATGTCATTTCTACTTCAAATTGTACGACATGTATTATAAAAATATTTGCATTTAAAAATAAAATGTTAACATTATTGAACAAAACATGACAAAGGATTATTAAAACAATGATTTAATATGATATATGTAAGTAACACTATAACTTGTTTAATTATTTTTCATTTAGTCTTTAAGGACACTTAAGTGACCTTTTATTTCATTAATATATTTTCAGCAAGTACAGTATTTAAAAAAAACCCACTTATATAAGATCTAAAGTAACCCAAAAATTATAACAAATTAGTTATTATTATGTAATATTGCTGAATCAACCTAAATACAATCATTTATACAAAACAAAGTTAGTTTTCAAGTACAAAATCAGCTCTTCAATTGCAGGTTACTTATTTTACAGTGTACAATACAATTAAGTGTACGTCTTTGTGATTATATTATTGTAGTATGGACTATTTCAGATAAACCCGTCACTTAACGTCAAATAAAAACAACTGTGGTTGGTTGCTTTAAATGTCATTCAGATTTGCCAGAATGAGCTGCAAAGTGGATCAGGCTTTATGCATGTGTTGTCACTGTTCATGTTTCCTTCAAGCACTGAACCCAAATACAGTGTGTGGGATTTTTTCCAAAAGCTCGTGAATATTTGAAGAGGCAAGCCTTCTTTACATCATGACTGGTTGTCTGTTGCTAGCATTTCGAGAACACTGTAAACATACAATTGGATTACCGCTTGGTTTATTATCTCCGCAGACGTAACATAAAAGGAAATGGATTCCTGAAAGAAAGCAGATGCCACAATAGAATCAACATGTGTCATCAACCATTCAAACTACAGTTCAAAACAGTGCTTTATCATGGAAACAAACAGCAGCCCTCGAGTGTCAAAGCGTCAGGGTGTCAGCCGGGTCTCTATAATTGGCAGGCTGAAAGCGGGGTTGTGATCTAGTGTGGTTCTCTGCCGCTCTTTCTGACAACAGCTGACCCGCTCGGTAATTTCCCTGACGTTTATTTACATACTGGATTAAGTCTGTCAGAACTAAGCCTGCGAGCGTGAGGGACGCGTATCCAGGAGGTGAATGTTTATCTGGTGTCACAGCTTGGAAAGTCTCTCCTTTTACTCTTTTTTCTGGCACTGACAGGGCAACTTAACTTTAATAACATCTGAGAAGCGCGTAGGTGTGTATGAGTGTGTGTCAATGTGTGTGTCAAGTCCGACGCGGGAAAAGGGCACCGGGCGATGTGACAAGGAGACGTGAGGTTTTTAAGGAGATATTTTGTCAAAAGCAGACTTCAGGAAGAGATACAGCGAGGAGCCTTTAAAGGTTCAGACAGAAATGTTAAGGACAGACAGCGAACCAAAGGGAGTTTATAAAAGTGAGCTCTCTCCTGCGGCTCTCTTCGTGACTATCAGAATTTACAGCGCCAAAATAAATTTGGCCGTGAGGAAACACAAAACATCATCATAATTCAGTACAAATGGAATGCCTGTAAAGTCACGGCCAAAAGAAAAATGAGTACAGTAAATTTAGTTGATCTGTGGTATTGAGATTTGTATACACTGTGTACTGTAGAGCATTAATGTGTGTGTGTGTATAAATATATATAATATATTATTTTTTTATTATTTGTGAGAAGAGAAATTAATAAAATGATACTCAATGAATTAATTTATTATTGAATTGGCCAATGCATGAATGAAAAGGTTAAATATGTGTGTGTGTGCGTGTGTGTGTGTGTGTGTGTGTGTATATATATATATACTATTTATTATTATTTTTAAGAAGAGTAATTAATGAAATTATACTCAATTAATTTATATATATATATATATAATTTATTATTATTTGTGATAAGAGTTATTAAAAAATGATAATTTATTTATTATTATTGAATTTATTTATTTATTTAGCTAGCTACACTGGCCAATGCAAGAATGAAAAGTTTAAATAAATAAATAAATAAATACCATTATTACACTAGTTATTATTTTAAACCTTGCAGAAGCACTGGATAATTTAGACAAACATAAACTGCAACAAAATATGCCACATATTCCTTTAAAAATTAAAAAGGAAAAAAACAATGTAAGTCTTACTGTCTCTCTCTTGGGCCGTGAGGTCAGGGAGGCGCAGGACATGTCGTCGTGGCAACAGCAGCGTCTGATAGGGCCACGTCGCCCAATACGGCACCACCACCAACCAGTGCTCGTTTTCCACTACCACACGCTCCTGTGTGATCAGAGACAACACAGTTCATAAAGTTCAAACTATATATCATGCTACTTAATGCTGGTCAATTTCCCATTGGCCAAGGATGATGCTTGACCTTAGAAATTCTGAACGCTATCGTACAACTTTTTCCCAATCACAATATTCTGGCAATAAAGCTGTGGCAATGTAGCTTTAAAGCCAACACAAGTGCTCTATGTCCTCCAAGTACTCTATTTTTGGGTGAACTATCCCTTTAAAGCAGCACTAAGTAGGAATTCCGTTTTAGTCAAACACTGACCCCTAGAGTCGCTGTGGAGTACTTGTACTGTCGTGAATAGCACTCACGCAGAGATGGCTCGCACTCACGGCCGGATCCCCTCCCCCTGTACACCGGTACCTGTTCAGTAGGATGGACGCTGTAACGAGTGGAAATAAGGTGTGGCCCCTTTAAGAGCTGCGCGCGCCCTGTTTAACTGTCGGCAGTCTGTATTGTATGTGCGCCTCGAACACCACATGTATACGGCGCCGGGTTATTTCTGTTTGATGCTCATTTTATCAGAATTTTATCAGACCTTTTTTGCCGTAAAGCAATTCGTTACCTCGCAAGACCTGATATCACACGATACTTCCTAACACTGGGCGACCCGCCGGCCCAAAGTTGCAAGGGTGGTTTTGCGGCTCACAGGCACCAGGGGGGTGCGAGACGACCACCATTCAACACGAAATCAGTAATATAAACATTACAATGACCCCAAAGCTGTTCGGTTAAGGTAAAAAAGTTACTTAGTTCACCTTTAAAGGTGTGATCTGTGAAGTGATCATTTCAGCTGTTGCATTTAGTTTCTTATGGACACTAAGGTGTACATGCTCCCTTTAGTTTCCCAATGAATTAAATAAATTTTTGATCTAAAATATATATTTAGATGTACAAATACTCAGTTCTCCAGTGTGACAGACTTAGAGTCTTCTTTTGTGTGCCTGGGAGCTTTGCACAGTTGAATTTTGGCTCATTCGTCTATGCAAATGTGTTCCAACTTCACCAGATTAGTTGGGTGGATTCCGTGGACTGCAATTTCCAGCTCAATCTACAGCAGGGTTCGGGCAACGACTTTGCAGGCAGTGTTTGCGCACAAATGTGCCTCACGAAACTGATTTCAGACTGACTTCTGAGGCAGTGTAACGGTTTAATGATCTGCAACAAAATAGAGCGAGCTTTGGTGAAAAGTGAACGAATATTTAATTACTACAATAGTCATTTCTCACTAGAAATGACATCAAATGTGGAAAATGTTGGTCAGAAATGCACTTTTACACACAAACTGACCACCAACTGCAACTTTCAGAAGCCATCTTTCTTTTTTAGCTCAACTGTCATAGAATGGAAAGCCCAGGATTGTGGAATATCAAAGGCAGTGAAGGATCCATCTATGCAGAAATTGATCAGATGAAGGTCTCAGGAGACAAGAAGTGAAGCGAACATTGGATTCGGACGTGCCTTTGCCTTTCTACCTTGAAATCCATCCTCCAGAGGCAGCATTTTTAAGCTTTCAGACACAGTCAGAGTGTCTGAAATGTTTAAAGCAAGGACTTGGTCTCTCCAAACCCCTCCTTTCTGAGAGCCCACTCTGCTCTGATTGGTCAGATGCCCCAGTCTGTTGTGATTGGTCTACTCTGCTCTGATTGGTCAGATGACCCAGTCTGTTGTGATTGGTCTACTCTGCTCTGATTGGTCAGATGACCCAGTCTATTGTGATTGGTCTACTCTGCTCTGATTGGTCAGATGGCTCAGTCTGTTGTGATTGGTCTACTCTGCTCTGATTGGTCAGATGGCTCAGTCTGTTGTGATTGGTCTACTCTGCTCTGATTGGTCAGATGACCCAGTCTGTTGTGATTGGTCTACTCTGCTCTGATTGGTCAGATGACCCAGTCTGTTGTGATTGGTCTACTCTGCTCTGATTGGTCAGATGACCCAGTCTGTTGTGATTGGTCTACTCTGCTCTGATTGGTCAGATGGCTCAGTCTGTTGTGATTGGTCTACTCTGCTCTGATTGGTCAGATGGCTCAGTCTGTTGTGATTGGTCTACTCTGCTCTGATTGGTCAGATGGCTCAGTCTGTTGTGATTGGTCTACTCTGCTCTGATTGGTCAGATGGCTCAGTCTGTTGTGATTGGTCTACTCTGCTCTGATTGGTCAGATGGCTCAGTCTGTTGTGATTGGTCTACTCTGCTCTGATTGGTCAGATGGCTCAGTCTGTTGTGATTGGTCTACTCTGCTCTGATTGGTCAGATGGCTCAGTCTGTTGTGATTGGTCTACTCTGCTCTGATTGGTCAGATGACCCAGTCTGTTGTGATTGGTCTACTCTGCTCTGATTGGTCAGATGGCTCAGTCTGTTGTGATTGGTCTACTCTGCTCTGATTGGTCAGATGGCTCAGTCTGTTGTGATTGGTCTACTCTGCTCTGATTGGTCAGATGGCTCAGTCTGTTGTGATTGGTCTACTCTGCTCTGATTGGTCAGATGGCTCAGTCTGTTGTGATTGGTCTACTCTGCTCTGATTGGTCAGATGGCTCAGTCTGTTGTGATTGGTCTACTCTGCTCTGATTGGTCAGATGGCGCAGTCTGTTGTGATTGGTCTACTCTGCCCTGATTGGTCAGATGACCCAGTCTGTTGTGATTGGTCTACTCTGCTCTGATTGGTCAGATGGCTCAGTCTGTTGTGACTGGTCTACTCTGCCCTGATTGGTCAGATGGCTCAGTCTGTTGTGATTGGTCGACTGCTTACAGCACATGTCGGAAACCAAACACCCATTACTATATCTGAATTTCAGCTCCAGATCTTCCTTGCACTTGATACACAGTGAATCAAACAGTAATGATGGCTACAGTTTTTCCATATCAATTTGAGCATGAGTCCTCGTCCTTTGGATGTTCATGAAAAGTGGATTTACTGTCACAGCACATCTTCTCACAAAACAGCATATTCTCGACATGTCGACAACAAGAACCAAACTCTTCCAGTCTCAGCTACAACTACAGTGTTTGAGGGCGTCAAAGGAGACGTTGTTGGCAGGCAGCCAATGAAGACCAAGTTTTGCATTATGCAAATGTGCTTTATTGTTGACGTTAACCCTACGTATCGAAGTAGCCACACCAGGATGTGTCACCAGTGGCACCAGACCACAAAAAGTCCATCCAAAAGTGTTCAAGTTTCATTAGATGACTTCTAAACTCTAGACATTACTTCAAAAGCCTCAAAAGCTTCTTTCTTCTAAACAGTCACCAAAAGAGGCCAAAAGTGCTGAAGATAATGTTGGCACTTTCTCTCATTTCAGCTGAAGAGCTCTGAAATGCTGTAAGTGTTATAGCTGGACTCTCACACAATTCTTTTACAATTCCTCCCCTTCTGGTAGCTCAATTTGGCACGTCAGCTGAACGTAGTATTGTCTAGTTTGCGCCATGTATTTTTTACACTAAACTTTATAAAGTTTCTCGGATAAGGTTAAACGCTTTGCCAATTCTTTTCTTTTTATAACCTTCTCCAGCTTTTTCCTTGGTATAAACTTTACAGACATCATGACAGAAGGACCTTTGTGAAACCTCACATAAAATGAAAAATGAACATACGATCAGAACCTTCCCAAACTCCTCCTCTTCCATCACACAAAGGTTCTGGGAAATGCTAAAATATAAAGAAAACTGACACACTTTGAACATCCACCGGAAGATATATACCATCCACTCTTTACTTATAGACACTATATACAATTTAGACGCAATAACTCTAATTTCACATACTTTTAATATTTGGATGTAGGGAATGTGACACTATCAGCCCAAAAAAGATTAGAAACAAAGGGCATCGGTTATAACCGTGTTGGTATAAACTGGAGCAGAAACCAGGCCCATTATTTTATAGAATTCAAAATACTTTATGGGTTTATATCAGAACTGGTTCCATTAAAAATATAAATAAAATACTGGAATTGAAGGATCTTTATTACATTTGGTTCAGATAGTCCTTGAAAGTCAGAAGTCTTCTGCCCAAGTACACACACACACACACACACACACACACACACACACACACACACACACATATATATATTTCCATCTCATATTTAGAGAATAGTGTTGTTTAGAGATGCATGAAAATGCCTCAATTTTTCTCAGTTTGTCCTCCATGGAAAAAATAACAGCATACAGTAATAACTTGGAATAACATGAAAAATCCATGACAGAATGTAAATTCTTTACAAACCATTCCCAGAAGTGGAACTAGAAGTGTTAAGTCCATTACAATTGAAATCCTTATTTTACCCTTGAATAAGTCTGTGCCCCACATGGGCCACCCAGTCAAAAATTCTCGACATGTCTGGAAACAAAGCTTTTTTCATTGTAGTTTGGTCAGTTGCATTCATTAGGAACTGTACTTTTAAAGAACCGGGGAGATATTCCCTCCGGCGCTGCCCCGGATTCCTACCCAGAGCATTTAAAACTCAAGTCATGAGGAAGAAAATGGACTTTCATGAGCCTAAGGGTCACGCAAAGAATTTAACCCTCATAAAATGTAGCCGATGTATGATTAAAATGACCATAAATCCCAGTGATGACGAGAAAAGCGTAAGATCCCAAGGACGGGATTGGAGGGCCGCTTTGGAACATGACATCCAGTGATGGATTACGAAGCGCCTGAAGTTGACGTGTGGCAGCTACAGTGCAGCGAGCGCTGATGAGGAGGTGGCGTTTGACAAAGCGCAGCTCTGTTTGGCAGTGAGTGATGGGGACTGATTACAGCCTCGGTTTCACAATGATCTTCACACACTCTGACTGCAGGGCGAGAGGGGGAGAAAGCACCAAGATATGGAGAGAAACGGCTAGGACAGCGAGACCGACAGAGACGGATTGATAGACCTGGAATGTTATTTCCACAGTTTTTTTTTTTGTTTCTTTTTTATTTCTCTGGCTTATGGCTTTTTTTTAATGTAGAAGTACTTCTGCAAGTACCAATAATTCTAAAAG